TGATTGTCGTGCTCGTCGTAGTCGTACTAGAAGCTGTAGAAGTAGTTGTTAGCGATGTAGTGATACTACTAGAAGAAGATGAACTGGTAGAAGAAACAGATGACGTCGTGGTAGTGGTGGGGGAAGTTATCGTCGTTGTCGTCGTGGCACTACTTGTTGTGGAACTGGTAGAAGTGGTACTTGAGGTGGTGCTCGAAGTCGTACTAGAACTTGCACTTGAGGTGCTTGTACTCGTTGAGCTTGTGCTCGTTGTACTTATGCTCGAAGTTGTGCTTGTTGAGGTTGTACTGGTACTTGATATAGAACTCGTTGGACTTGTACTTGTTGAGCTGGAACTCGTTGGACTTGTACTCGAAGATGTGCTTGTTGAGCTTGTACTAGAACTCGTTGGAGTTGTAGTACTGCTCGATGTGGAACTAGTGCTTGTACTTGTAGACGTACTCGAAGTGCTCGACAAGCTAACCGATGTCGTTGTTGAAGAAACTGTAGTACTTGTTGAGCTTGTTGAACTAGGACTACTCGTTGTGCTACTTGTAGAAGAGCTTGAAGAAGTGGACGTACTCGGAGTTGTAGTTGAAGAGGTTGACGAAGTGGTATCGGCCGACGTTATAGTACTTGAGCTTGTCAATGTAGAAGTCGTCGTACTTGAGACTGTGACTGTAGAGGTCGAGGTGCTTGAGCTCGTAACTGTAGTAGTGCTGATTGACGTTGACGAACTTGAGGTCGAAATCGTGGAAGCTGTGCTGGATGATGTTGACGTACCTGAGCTCGTAGTTGTGCTAGTTGACGTCGAGGTGCTTGACGGTGTCACAGTAGTGGAAGTCGACGTACTTGAACTTGTAACTGTGGAAGTCGTGCTCGTCGAGCTGCTCGTATTTGGTCCAGAGGTAGTTGATGTAGTCGCAGTCGAAATTGCAGGAGTCGATGCGCTCGAGCTCGTGAACGTAGAAGTCGCAGTAGTTGACGACGTCGAAGTGCTTGAGCTTGTTACTGCAGAAATCGACAAACTTGAACTCGTGCTTATCGAAGTTGTGCTTGTAGGCGATGTCGTCGACGTACTTGAGGTGGTTACAAGAGAAGTCGATGTACTTGAACTCGTACTCGGCGACGTTGTTGACGAACTTGAGGCTGTCACAGGAGAAGTTGATGTAGTTGTACTCGTGCTGACCGAAGTGCTTGAACTGGTTACAGGAGAAGTCGACGACGTACTTGAGCTTGTTACAGGAGAAGCAGATGTATTTGAGCTCGTAATTGGCAACGTTGTTGAGGTACTTGTGCTTGTGACCACAGAAGTAGGACTGGTAGACGAGGTTGACGTACTTGGACTTGTGATTGGAGTCGTTGAACTTCCCACTGACGTTGACGTACCTGTAGTTACAGCTGCCGTTGATGTACCTGTCGTACTGACCGTAGACGTGCTAATTGCACTAGTTGTGGTCGGGGGCGACGGTACGGTGGTACTCGTGGAAGTGGGCGCTTGAACCGATGTTGTCAGGACTGTGGAAGTCGACGTTGACGTGGCCGCAGTGACCGATGTGCTCGCAGCTGTTGAGCTAGTGACCCCTGGGTTTGTCGTGCCTAGAAAGTACTTTATTAGAATTTTGTCTTTTTTTTGGAGCAGGGTTTGAAAACATACTGCTAGACGTGCTAGAAAGAGGATTAATCACAGTCGTGGTCGAGCCTGTGTAAATCAGTTAGTCACGTCTCAAACTGCACAAGTCAGATGCTTTGTGATAAGGGCAGAAAGCCTCTCCACGCAATTCTTGGACACCGGCAAATTGACAGGACTTGAGATTTGTAACGTACCAGAAGTTACGACAAGTGAGCTTGTGGTGGTAGAAGGCGGAGACGAGCTCGAACTGATCGAACTTGTGCCAGGTGGTGCCAAAGTAGTCGAAGATGTCGCTCCCACTGTGGTAGTGGGAGAATTAGATGCGCTGGTCGATACAGCGCCATTTGAGGACGACAACGATGTTGACTGTGCTGGGGGTGCACTGGAGGAGCTTGTGTATGTAATTGTATTAGACGTACCGGAGCTTGTACCTGCCGCCACCGACGAACTGCCAGATTGAGAGGTGAATTGTGGCTGCGTCACACTTTGTGTTGTTCCCGCTGGCGGACTCTGCGTAGTTACAGCTCCTGGAACGGAAGTCGTGGTCGTGGGAGGCGGTGCAGGCACGGACGACGACGTTTGTGCAATGCTGGATCCTGTAGATGCTGGCGAGTTCGTGCTTGGTCCTGGTACAGAAGTTGAAGCTGCAGGGAGCGAAGACGTCGTTCCCGACGGTACACTGCTGCCAACAGGCGAGGATGTGGTGCTTGTGAAAGGGGAAAGAGTGGATGAGGGAGAGGAGGACACTATACCTGCTGAAGTACCGCTCACGGTACCAGGAGTCGTGCTTGTACTCTGGCCAACCACCGAAGTAGTGCTTGGTCCACCAGCAGGTCCACTGCTCGTTCCAGTTGCGGAAACCGCAGGGCTAGTTTGGCTTCCAGACGTTTGACCTGTACTGGTAGCGACTATCGGTCCTGTCGAACTAACCACTACGCTCACGCTGCCACTGGAGCTCGCTGCTGGACTGCTGGTGCTGCTGGTGCTGCTGCGTTGTGCCGTGGTTGTGGTAGGCATGACCACAGGTGGTGACGTAGTGCTTGATGCTGGCATTACCGGGGTTGTACTCGAGGCAGAGGGAGGCACTGCAATTGTTGTGCTGCTTCCTGCAGGGGTGGCTGCCGATGTACTTGAGACGGGAGGAGGTACTACTGCGGTCGTACTGCTTGCTACTGGAGTACTGACTCCAGACGTTGGGACACTCGACGGCGGCGGCGCTTCAGTTGTTTGACTTGTCTGGACTGGAGTATTCGAGTCAGTCGGCGCAGCTGTCGTCGAATCAGTAGTGCTCTCTTGGGTTATCGATGATACTTCGGAGGTGCTGATGTCTGTTGCCGCGCTTGAGACAGTTGTCGTCGTAGAATCTGGAGGTTCCATCGGCGTGGTGGTGGTTGTGGTGGTCGTAGTTGTCTCTGTCTCCTCGGTCGAGGTAGTAGAAGTCATAATTGTCGTTGTTGATGACCCATCGTCCGGAGGTGCAACAGCTTTGTTCGTATAGTCTACAGGACAGGCCGCAGCGGCTATGCCTCCAATGATGATTGGATAGCAGTTTGGCAAGGCAGGGTCGGGGAAGCCTGCATATATGTGTCCATCACTACATTGATAGAATGTTGCTGGCCCTTTATCAGTCGAATTCCATCCCAGGATACCATTCTCGAAGAACAGAGTGGTATTGACGTCGTTGGGATATGATTCCGGCGACATTGCCACAAAGATGTCGCTGGAGTTACGTCCAACAGATTCGTTTCCAGCCAAGAGTCGACCAGCCGATAGGAAATATCGAGTAGCAAATCCGCAGTTGTTGCCTGCTTCTCCGTCCTTGCCCTGGAGCAGTCCCTGAGGTGGTGCAGAAGGCAGGACTGAGTCGTCCTGTCGCTTCTCTTTTTGATACTGCATCCCGACTATTCCATACTCCCATTCTTCCTCGTACGCATCTCTCTTGACCTTCGCCCCACCTCCGCCGAACGTAAACCCAAGCATTACCGGTGATGTTGCAGGAATGTCGGTTAGAGTCCCGGTCGGCAAGCCCTGACCTAGAGTTAGGTCTGGTTGAGTTTCTGTGACAGTGACGGTGTTTCCATTGGCGTCTGTGGTAACAATTGTCAGCACGGGTGGAATGGTCGTTGTCGCTGGTGGAGGAGCCACCGGGGGAAAGGTTTGTTGCGTGGTTGTTGAAGCGGGAGTTCCAGAAGTACTCTGCATGGTTGTAGACAGGGTGCTCGAGACGCCAGATGAGGAGGACCCTGGAGAAGCACTTGTGCTGGACCCGGCCATCATACTGCTGGTGGAGGATGTTGAAGAGCTGCTAGTGTCTGTAGGATTGACTGTGGACGTCGTAATAGTCGTCACTATAGTGGTCGAGATATATGAAGTTGTAATGTACGTCGTCGGGGCATTGTTGATCATGATAGTATTGCCATCACCAAAGATGTTGTAAATTTGTGACGCGGATTGGATGAACGAGCTGTAAACGGCCGGCTGCACGACAACGACACTGGTGATCGACGGTACAGGACATGGTCCACCGGGTCCGTAAGTGACTGTAGATAAAGCTTGAGCGGAGGCCACTGCAAAATACAGGGCAAAGTATGGCAAAAGGAGTGTGGGAGCCCACCACATGTTGGGCAAGTTGTGGTTTTGCTGGAAACAAAAACAGTAGAATGAGGACCGCAGAACTCCAAACCAAACGAGTGACTGTTCCGATGAAATGTAAGTAGAATTGCAGACATGATTAGCTTATTAGAACCCCAGGAGCCACGACGCGAAAACAAAACAACCTGATCAGAATGTAGCATTCCAGAGATGTTGTCCAAGCCGACCGCGCTGCACAGACGATGGCGGGAAAGTGTGGCATATCAGACCAAGGGATCGGCGTTCAGGAATGAAGGGAGACCTTTTTTGCGATAGAACATGAAATGCAATCATTCGAAGGACCAAGAGGGTAATGGTCCGGACTCGATGTCCCCTGGATGTTGGTCTGGCCGTACCGCCATGGCCATGCTGCAGCAGAGGAGCTGAGAGGGTGTTGAATCTCAATGTACAATCGTGGCGCCACGCTCAGCTAGAGAAATACGTTCCACAAACATGCTGTTTTGGCATTCTCTTTGTTTCTGGCATCACTGAAAGGTGTTTTACCTACAACTCCAAGGCGCTGTCATTGCGACGCCGAATGAAGAGAGAACTGGGTGAGAGGTTTGGAAAGCCGCCACATACCTGACATCGTGACGCCTCAATGCCAAGGAACAGGTGATAAGTCGTGACCCTGCGGGCTAAATCAGGCACTAAAACGACGCTCACAGCCCTGTCATTTCCCACCTTAAATTCTTGTTATATGATTTTCGATGACCAAGATTGTTTAGTAAATTGCCCTCGAAATGGGCGTTATCTCGACACGATGGCCGAGTGGTTAAGGCGTTAGACTTGAATTGCCAGATGTATATCTAAACTTCATGTCATCTAATGGGTTCGCCCGCGTAGGTTCAAATCCTGCTCGTGTCGCTCTAAGCGTTTTGTTTTTGTGAATTTTTTTGGTGGTTGAATCTTTAATCTTTGTGTCTTTCTTATGGCCATTGTAAATATTTACGTAGCCAACGTGTCAGGCGGCTTTCGAAGCCGTGCTATCCTCGTAACCAGAATGAAAATCCAAGGTAAGGAGAAACTTCAAGTACGAAGGAGCTCACAAACATACATTCGCACATTTCGCTACACAGGACTCTCGCGACATTTGGAACTCACCACCGCAAAGTCACAAAGTCAAACGATTCTCACGCCGCTCAGGGGATAACAACTTCTTCCCTTTTGGAAGTCTCTATCTCCAGGCTGCAGGTCTTGCACAAAAGGTTCCCTCTATATGGACCCAACTTCGCGAAGAACCGGACAAACAAAAGGCAGCGCCAGATCCGGCACACTGTTTACCTTTCAGACAAGTATGGTACCAGATCAGGCAAAAGCCTCTCACAAAAACTCGATGTTCTGCCTCTGTTTTGTCAAGAATCTGCATCACAACCGCTCACTTGAGCAAGCAACCCACATTCGCGCAATATACCTGACAAGAAACCTCTCTCACTACCATGGCGTCGCAGTCCCTTCCTACTAAGATCAAAGCCAGATCTCCCTCAAAACCCAAGCCCACAACTTTGCAGGTTTCCACGAAAGAGGTCACTTCTCACGTTTCCAGATACAAGGTTCTAGATGTCGTCAAGGTCGCCATTCGCAGAACATTCACCCACCGCGACAGGAAAGCAGACACAATCGCCTCCCTCGAAGCCTTGACCCAGGAAACCGCCAACGTCAGCCGGCTGATGCTCGCCGATCACGCCGAACTGATGCGCCAGTACGAGCAGACGATACGGTCGAACGAGGAAGAGTTGCGGGATTTTCAAAAGCAAATGGAGTATGACTTGGGACGGATCCATGTGTGATTCAACGAAACAGATGGCAGATAGCATAGGCGATGAAAAGATAACAGTATCGGCGTGCTGAAGAGGCTGGGGGCGCGGCCAAAGGAAGAAATGTCACGAGCTTAAGAGTCACGAGTTTACGGGTGTGTGACAGGAACGAAAGGCATACGTTGTTCAAACCATCACAGTATACCTCAGATGCCTTTTGCAGATATCATATTTGCCATAAACACGAGGCTCTCGGAAGATTATAGTGCATTTGGAAAAGAGAACCGTCTTGAGTCAGATACTGGATGAGAGTGAACAATGTTCTACAAGTAGGATCAAGACATAGAGAATGCCATCAACGCTGCTGTCAAGAATATGATAACAAGGATCACTGCCACGATTTAATCTAGTAGCCAATTTTACGACAAGGTCGAAAGATACATGAAAACAAACACAACGCGTTCAAGTAAGACTAGTATGTATGAGGCCATGCCTGCCACAGCCTCCACTTTACAACTTCTCAATTCTCCTAAGAGAATAAAACAACAGGTAGGCCTCTTGCCTCATCACATCCTCCGTCGTCGTTGCGCTTACAATCTCATCGTCGAAACGAAACCACTTGTTATCTTGGCGGCAAAAGGCAAAGTAGTGGCCGTTGTGTGCGTGTTCGCCCTGGTGTACGACCACGCAATCCAGGTCGTACATGTATTTCTCCTTGTCTTCACCATTCTTCGGCGGCCGCGTCGTGTACGGTGCCATGTCGAGTTGCAAGCTAAAGTCCAGCTTGCCTTCATACTTTTCTGGCACGAAGACCCCCGTTCCAAGTTGCTTCATGCCAAATCGCTTGACGTGAACACAGAGGATCGCTGGCAATTTGCGAATTCGGGTCTGTTTGCTGGCAGACCGACGCTCCTTGCATTCTTGGCAATTGTACTGTTCTGGAGAGAGGGGTTCGGGTGCGGTAAAACCACGCAGGCACTCGTGAATGTTTGGCACCGTGATCTTGAGTGCATCCTTGTCTTTCGCGTCGCCAGAGTTTGCGGCGTCCTTGGCAGCCTTCTTCTTCTTCTTGACTTGCTTCTTGAAGTCAAGGCTGATGCTGGAGAATTCATCTTCACGGGAAGAAACGGTATGACATGTATCGCATGTGATTTGGCTGTTTTCTCGACCGTAAAAGACCTTGTGGAAGAAACATACGCATTGCTTTTCGATTGATGAAATGCCATTCGCTTCGTTGATGCTATTCGTCTTTTCTGGGACCTTGTATTGAGCCACTCCCTCGTGGAGACGGTCGACAATCTGCATGAACCATTCTTGGGCGTCCTGCTGGCCTTTCCCAGACATTTCAGGGATGTTTTTCCATGACGCGAACAGGAGGGGGACGGCGTGAGCGGGGGTAGGTTGATCGACGATGGTGACATCAGAAAACACTTCGGTCATCCCACAAGCGACACAGCTTTGCTGTTCTTTCTTTTCTTCATCCTCATCTTCGGAATCGGAATCGTTTTTCTTGTCGGGTTCTTTAGAGATTGGACAAGTGTGAGTAGGATGGCCCATGCCGAGAAAGTAGCTTGCCAGAATGGGATTGTGAACCATCATTTGAAGAACGGCATTCATGTAACACGTCTCACCAAGGTTGAACAGGCCTCGAACACCAATCCGGCCGCAGGGACGTTGAGAAGTGTTGGTAGTCAGGTATGAGTCGTCTTCGTCGCTGGCCTCTGCGAATTTGCGTTTCTTGTTGGTGTTGGACAAGGTTGGATCGTAGACAAGATCGTTGCAGTGTCCACAATAAACGGTCTTTTGACTGACTGCGAATTCGTGCTGGGTCTCCGCAAAGTGCTTGTTCAAGGTAGGGAAACTGCCGGGGGTAGAGCAATCGAGACAGATATATTGTACCAAGTCTTCGCCGCTAAGATGTTTGGACCGAAATTGTCGGATTTTGTTGATGACATCACTATTCATATGCTCGCAGCCAGCTGCCGGCATATACATAGAGAACGGCATACTGATAGAAGATCGTCTGAAGCTCTCGCACCGGAAGGAGTCCAAAGAAAAGAGAGGAGTTGTGGTTCTTGGTTCAGGAGATCCGTCGTGCCGAAGAGAGAAAGAAGCGTCGCGGATATGGGCAAGCTGTTTTACCTACACCAGAACTCGTTGAATAGCTCTATTGAGGCTATTGTACCTGAAGAATTTTTCACGGACAATAACATTCGAAAATTTACTGTGTTGATTGAATGGTGTGGCAGAAAACACACTGTTTGCTGGTTCGAGATTCAAAAGTTCTTCGGATATACGGACCAATAATGAACGCTAAAAATAAGCCTCGTGAGGCTCGGCTTCAGCCTCGTCGACGGTAGCACCGTACCTTGTGCATGCCAATATGTCATATATGCGTCGTTAAGCAGGCATGCATTCTATATGGCGGGCTGGAGAAAAGAGCAATAGAGGCTGGAACATCTGGTCTTACCAGCGCCCTTTAAACATTGTTCAGCCAAAAACCCAGTTTGATGGGTAACACGATCGGCTAGTTAAATATCTTGAATGTCAACGCTTTAATTCATCATTATTTCTACGATGAAAGAACTGCTGTTTTCGTTGTAAACTGTGTTTGCTTTGTGTCTACTCCATGTATCATGAGAAAACCAGACAGCCGATATTGCTGTAGGCAAGCACCCGATAAGACCTCGTAGCATATCTCTTCTCGTAGTGCTTTCAGCGGCGCCGTCCTCAGCCCAAGATCTCTGGTCTGAGATATTCAAGAATAGCATTGACATCCGCCTCACCACGGGCATGAAGATGGATAGCCAGCTCGAACAGAAAGAACAAGCGATCCGAGTCTCCCGTAAGGAAGGGGTCGGTGAGATTAATCCTCGTCATTTCGACCAAGATCTCATCGACCAACATGAGCATGGTAGTCGCGTATCTGAGACCGTCAAATGCCACTCTCTGCTTGAAGTCAAGTCTCGCCATTCTATCGACGGCCTCCAAATTTCTTCCTCCATCAAGTGTAGGCCGCACTGTTTCCGTTTCGCCCTCGATGAATCGTAGTGCCGAATGGAAGCTAAGCTGTCGACGTATGTTGGTCATGGTCAGAAACAGCATGGTACCACCGTCGCCGCCATCAGTGATGGCAAAATCGAATAGCGTCCCTAAAATTAACCCTTAGAAAGGTCGGCACAATCGTGAGAAGGTTCAACATACGTGGGTTCTGTTCCTCAGCCATCCTGATGATCAGATGCAGTCTCTTTGTTTTCTCGAAGGTTTGTTACTGTTTCCAGTGTCGGCAATGGTCATGGTCTTGGTTTTGAGGAATGGATTTACTCTTCAGCGTCCGATCAAACCTGTGGGATATAATGGCAGATTGTGGCCTTCACCCGCGCCCTGTCTCTTATGCCGAGACAAGTCACATGTATCATCTACCTAGCACCTCTCCCTCTGCCTCTTGGCAGGCTGCTGACCCGCCCTGCACGACCAGCACCTCTGCTTGCTCTTGTTGCATTTCCTCTTTGGGGGTTTGCATTGTTTTGTTTCACCGTTGAGACTGTACTGGGGGTGGCCGACGGTGCCATTGTCTTACGACGTGGTGTTGCTTTGAGACTTGTAAAGCTTGCATCTGCCATTATGAATGTCGCCTCTGATTCTCCCTGCTTGCCCTCTGTGACATAGTTCTGCGTGATGGTAGTCTCGTCCAGGTTTGCTTGTCCCCGACGCTTGTGATAGCGTTTGATTGACTCAGGTATAGGTGCCTATAACGAACAATCAGGAGGGAGCTGGTCCCATATGGATTACTGCATACCTCTGGAAAATCCACCACAAAAGCATTCATGTTCAACCCATACAGGAAACTGGCGAAGCTTTCCCCAAATCTGCTCAGACTCTCATGCATCAGCTGAAGGTGCATAAAGTTGGCTTCAAGATCAGCCACTGAATCACCTAGCTCTGCAAATTGGGGCTCGAGAGCATCCAAAGGAGACACGCCCGAAATTGCATTGTTCTGCGAGGTTCTGAACGACGACCTGGATGATGGCCTGAGAGGTGTTGTCGGTCGAGAGACAGGAGACGGGGACGTACTACGTCCACTCGGTCGAGAACGGGACACCGCACGGG